CGGGGAGGCCCTAGTTTGCACTTTTTTAAACCAATAGCTGGCCAGCATAGTATCATATGTGGGTCAAAAATTAATAGAAGAGGTAGTTTCACCCCCTTGAGGACTAATTTTAAGTGCTATTGTTTTGTAGTCTTGTTTAATCCTTTGACAAAAGTGTATGATTATCTTTGGAATGTAAACAAGCCTTTAGTTTATTAAGAGGCTATTTCCGATCTTTGAAAGTTCTCTTTTTCTCCTTTTTTTTTTTAAGGTTTATTCATATATGCATATAGGAACTGTGGTACAAACCAGAGGTGTGGGGGATGAGAGGATTTACCAGAGACAGAACAGGCAGACCGAAATACAGTGCTGAGGGGAGCAGTGGGTGAGACAGGAGAGGTCTGCTGTGCCATGTGGGTCAGCTCCCAGGCCGGGGATCAAACTCGTGCTGCAGTGGCTGCTGATAGCTTCCTATTGCTGACACTTAACCCCTGCGCCACCAGGGAGGCCCCCCTTTTCTCTTTTAAATTGAGGGTACATTTTAATACAGAAAGTTTTAAACCTGTTCATTAAGGCCTACTCTATAAACAACAGTCACCTTATTACCATGTCCTGCCTTATCTAAATCTTAAGGTAACTGAAATAAATGGTACTCAGTGGTTTGTGCCGTGTTTTCAGTGTCACTACCTGCAGGCTTTAGACATGGTGGCTGAACAACCAGATGGCAGCTGCCAGCTGCGTGGTCCCACTGTGTCTCTGGAGGTGCTTCTCAGCCCAGAGAGGGTTAGCAAGACAGCATCAGCCCCCGGGCATGCCGCTGGGTGGGAGCTTGGGCAAGGGACTAGGCAAGAGATGTAGGAGAAGTTGTCAGGGAACTCAAGGGAATAAAAAGAACTGGAAAGAGTCTAGAAAACAGATGAACTCATGGAGAGAAGAGCTTTAGTATAAAGATGAACTGAGAAACTACACTTCTCCAGTCTGGAAAAATGAAATTAAAGAGATGGTAAAAGTGTAAAATCATGAAAGAATGAATATATTGCATCTAAAATAGAAAATGTTAAGTGGGTAAACAGAAATACTGAATTCCTATTCGGCTGCCTTTCCTTTTATCCCCTCATAAAAGTTTCACTTAAGCTTTTTCCTTCCTTTCGGTTTCCTTTCCACAATTCCACGCAGGGAACTGAGACCCAATGAAGAAGTCACCTGGAAGTAGAGGCTGTGGCTGACATGCAGGATGTTCACGTCATAAAAATTATGAGAGAAATAAAGACATTATTATTTGGTTTGAAGAATTTAAAGTGTGACTCTATGTGATGATGTAATCTTTCACTTTTTAAGTAAGTGATACACTTGGCTTAAAAATAACTGTTGAGTACCTGATCTCCCCTGATTTTCTTTCTTTCTTTTTTTTTTTTAAACAGTTTTATTTATTTTTTTAATTTAATTTTTTTTTTTAAATAGAGGCATGTTTTATTTATTTATTTGTTTTGTTTTTTTGTTTATACATGCACTGGGTACAGTCAGAAGCGCGGGAGGGTGAGAGAACTCACCAGAGCCAGAGCGGGGAGCAGAGCAGGCAGAAGGACCGAAGCACACTGCTGAGGGGAGCAGCGGGCGGCAGGAGGGGTCTGCGCGCCATGCAGGACCCTCCGCCGGTGGCCGGGGAGCAGCCGGGGAGCAGCGGGGGATCGAACCGGTGCCGCAGAGGCCGCGGGCAGCCTCGCAACCCAGCGCTCAACCACTGCGCCACTGGGGAGGCCCCTCCCCTGATTTTCAATAAACCAACCTAGGTTCAAAATACCTAAGTTGGAAATGCTGGCTGGGAGCGGCGGCCCTGGTGACCAGCGTCATCGAGTGGCCCTACCACACTTCCTACTGAATGCGTGTCCCTCTCACACCATCACAAAGAACAAGTCCAGCCATCTGAAGTTGGGAAACAGCTGTACTACTCAGCACCAACAAGGAGTAATCTACTTAGAGAACATGGGTGAAATTCAAATAAGCCTGTAAGAATTCTTAAAAAGCACATACTACATGATTCCATGTACATAACGTGTTCGTTGAAACTAATCTCTACTAACGAAACAGACAAGCGGTTTCTGGGTAGCAGGCTCCAGAATGGGGTTGGAGGGACACAAGGAAACTTGGCTGGAGTACTTGGAGGGCGAGCTTGTTTCTCCCCAGGGCGCCCTTCCCAGGATATCTGGGCTGTCTTAGGCACCGCCACAGTATCTTGAGCCCCTGAAGGTGGGTGATGCAGGATTGGGCGGGAAGGGGTCATGGACACCTCTCAGTGCTGCTTGCTTGACCTCAAAGCCTTTGCTTTGACTTTGGGCTTGGAAGGAACAGGAGCTTCCTTTGCTTTTAGGGCCATCTTTGTGAGAAGATCATCTTTTACTTAAGGATCCTTGTTATAAATTACATGCTATTAGGGCAGGAAGGTGAATGAAGTGATTAGTACGAACAGTACTGAATGTTGCCAGGAACTGTCCTAGGTGGTAACGATTTCTCAGAGCCAAAAATAAGGTCCTTGGGGGTCATGTAGATCCTAGTCAGCAGTTCATCACTGTAGAGAGTTGAATCCTGTCCTTCCAAATATAAGACACCTCAGAATCAAAGACCTTTGGAAATAGGGTCTTGCCAAAGGGACACAGAATCGCCCTGCGTAGAAGGGGACTTAAATGGAGTGGTAGGTATCTTATAAGAGGGGAGGCTGAAATTCTACAGTCTCAAAGCAAGGACCACCACACCAGAAGCTGGGAAGCAAGGAAGGATCTCCCCTAGAGACTAGAGTGAGCCTGGCCCTGCTGCACCTTGGCTTCGGACTTCCGAGCTCAAGAATACAGAATCACTTTCTCTTGCTTTAAGCCACCAAGTTCATGCTATTTTGCTCCAGCAGCCCTATCACATGAATACAATCACATTTTCTGTGTGTAATACATGAATACAGCTCAAAAATCAAGGCTACAGTGTCCCACCTGTGTCCCATTTGTCTAGTTTTTTTCCCATCTCAAACATGTACTCCGGGATTCCTACTTAATATTCCAGAGGACCTCCCTGGTGGCTGAGGGGTTAAGCTGATCCCCAGCCAGGGAGCTAACTCACATACAGTGCAGCGACCTCGCCTGTCTCACCTGCTGCTCCCCTTAGCAGTATATTTCAATAGATCTACCTATTCTGCACCCCACTCTGGTGAATCCTCTCAACCCCCCTCCCCACACCTCTGGCCTACACCCCAATTCTATGCAAAGATAAATTTAAAAAAAAAAAAACAAATTCTTCCAGATATGTGTAAAGGACATACATTAAAAAAAACATTACACAGACACACCTTTTGAAAATAAACCAGAGACACTGGTTTGCGTATATTTCATTTCATGAGACCATGATTTATCTCTCCCAAATAGGCCAGAATTCCTTAAGAACGTGACTGGTTTCCCAATACAGGACAGTGGATTGTGCACACAGAGACATCAATAATAGTAACAAGCCTCCCCTGAGCACTGGCCCTCAATACAGTCTCATTTCCTTACTGATCCTGCCCCTTCTATTCCTCTAAACCTGAACTCACCAGTCGCCCGTGGTCTCCATAAATGTAGAGGCTCTTGTAAGTTGTCGTGTTGCTGGAGTTGTTGGCAGCAGCCACACTGAGTGCTCCCCGAAACCTTCCATTTCCAGAGCTTTCTCAGTATTACATATCCCTGCTTCTCCCTTCTCCATTTTTACCCTTCAAGCCCTACTCTAGATCCTTTCCTCTCCCGCTCTCTTCCTTTGCCCTGAGATGATTTTATTCACTCCTGTGGTTTGTTACCTTTTATGCCAGCAATTCCCTGTCCGGCAACCAAACCAGTCTAAACTTCAAGAGGTCATGACGTTTACACAATGACTACTACTTAATATGTAGCTAGAAAGACAGACAAGGGAGGTAGAGTCAAGTATTACCAAACATAATTCACATGAATGTCTCATATTTTAAATACAACATATCCTGATACAAACTCCGTCATCTTTTCCCCCCCCAACCTTGCTCCTCCCAATCTCAGTAAATACTGCTCCTACCACGGTGGCTGCCTACAGCAGAACGCTAGAAGTCATCCTTAACATTTTTGTCTCCTCACTACCCACTCTCCCAAGTTCTGAATTGCCCTACTTCCTAACGTTCTCAGGAAATGGTCACCACCAGCTTGTCAAATCCCAAAGAAATCCAAGATTCTTTGTCAGCAATGTCTCTTCTGTGACCAGAGTGATTTTTCTAGAATGCGCATCTGAGCACGTCTCTCTTTTTTAACTTTATATAGTTTCCCACTGCCTTTAAAAAGTAATCCCCCTTAACCTGGTTTTATTTTATTGTTTTAAAAGATTTATTTATTTATGCTTACAAGAGCTGGGGTACGGGCCAGAGATGCGGGGAGTGACAGGATTCACCAGAGACAGAGTGGGGAGCAGAACAGGCAGATAGACCGAAGTACACTGCTGAGGGGAGCAGCGGGGAGACAGGAGAGGTCTGCCGCGCCCTGTGGGTATCTCCCTGGCCGGGGATTGAACTCGTGCTGCAGAGGCTGCGCAGTGCTTCACAGTGCGGTGCTTAACTCCTCGCGCCACCAGGGAGGCCCGCCTTTTTGTTAATAAGGCCATGCGTGGAGGAGGAGGAGGAGAAAGAGTAAGTTATTAAATAATTGCATGCGGATATGACACGAGGAAGCAAAGCGGGAAACGCAAGAGCAGAGGCGCCAGGTAGTCCCAGGGCCCCTGGACACCCGACAATCACGGCAACGGGTGGGCGGAGAGAAGATCCTCCGGCCGGCAGGCGGCGCTGCGGCGCGCCGGAGGGCGGGCCGGCCGGGGGCGGGCGGACGCGCGACACAGGTCACGTGCCCCGCGCTTGCCGCCCGGGCGTTCGCTCGCCCTCGGCCCCACGTGACTCGGCCCCCCGGGGTGATTGGCCCGCCCGAGGCACGTGGGCAGGGCGGGGGCGGGGCCGGCGAGGGGGCGGGGCCGGGGGCGGGGCCGGAGGGGTTGGCTGGGCGCGGGGGCCGTTGGCTCCAGACAAATAAACATGGAGTCCATCTTCCACGAGAAAGTGAGTCCGTGCGCGGGCGCCCGGCGCGGGGCGGGTGGGGCGCGGACCCGCCTCCGGGCTGCCGGGGCCCGGGTCGCCCCGTCCCCGGCTCGGCGGGCGGAGAAGCGTCCCCGGGCAGGGAGCGCGGCGACGCCCCCGCCGCGCCCCCGCCGCACCCCCGCGCCCCGCGCCCCCGCCGAGGCCGCGCCGGGGCCGGAGCCGGAGCCGGAGCCGGGAGCCGGGGGGACGGGCCGGGTGCTGGGGCCGGGGGCGGGGCGGGCCGGGGGCGGGGCGGGCCGGGGGCGCCTCGGGGCGAAGGGGCGGCGCGGCGCGGGCCGGCGTCGGCGCGCCCCCTTCTCTGGGGGTCGTGGGGTCCCCGCCCCCCGGCGCGACCCGCCCCCGTCCCTGCCGGGACGACCGACCTTCCCGGACCGGCCCCGGCCCGGTTCGCGTCTCCGCGCTGCCGCGGTCTCGGCGCTGCGTCCCCCGGCGCCCCTCGGGGCCGCGACCCGGGCCGCCCCGGCCGGCGGGCGCCGCGCTCTGCGGGGCCGGGTCGGGGTCGCCCTCGCGGCCGCCCCGCCTCCCGCGCCGCGGCCCTCCCTGCCGGCTCGACGCGCCCGGGGCTGCTCCGCGCCCCCCGCCCTCGCCGCCCGCGGCCCCGCGCCCGGGGTGCGCGCGGGGTGCCCGCCCCTCCGGGCCGCCGGCCCCCAGCCCCGGGCGGGGCTCCCCGGCGCGGGCCGCGGCCTGCGGGAGGGGCGGGGGCCGGGGCCTGCGGGCGCGGAGGGGAGACGGGGCCGCGCTCTCGCGGTGTCGGGGGACCCGGTCCCCGCGGCGGGCCGGGGGGCCGGGGCCGGGGCCGGGCGGGAGGGGCGGCCGGCGGCGGCATCGGCCCGCGCGGGTCTCCGTGGGTCTCCGCGGCGGCGGCGCAACTTCTCTCGAGGCCGGCGCGGCGGAGCCGCCTGTTCCCGGGGAGCCGCGGGCGACCCTGTCCCGCCGGCCCCGCCGCGGGGTCCGGCCCGGCCCGGCGCCCTCCGTCCAGCGCCGCGCCTGCTCGGGCGGCCGTGCCGGCGGGGCGCGGGGGCGAGGCCGAGCGCGGAGGGCCCGGCGCGGCGGCGGCCTCGTCCTCGGGCGACGCCGCCTCGAGGCTGCCGGCCCGGCCCGGGCGCGCGAGGCGAGGGAGGCGGTGGCGGCGCAGACCCGACGCCCGCCCGGCCCCCGCCCGCCCGCCCGCCCTGCGGGGCTTCGGGGCGGCCTCTCCGGGTCCGCGGCGCGTGGTGGGGCGCGTCCGACCCGCTCGGCGCTGGGGGCGCGGGCCGCGGGCTGCCCCGGCGCCGGGAGAGGCGGGCGACGGCGGGAGACCCGGGCGGCCGCGCCCTCCGCGCGGGCGGAGCCGCTGGCCGGGGTTTCGTGGTTTGGGGTCCCTGTAGCGCTCTCTTCGTCTTGCGGCTTCGCAGAGCGTCTTTAAGTCTGGGCCGAGTCACTCGGTCTTTCCTTCCATCGGATGGTGCTCGGGGAGCGGAGCCTGCTGCTGCTGCCGCGGCGTGGCGCCGAGCCCGCCTGGACGGGGCGGGTCCCACGTGCTTGCTCAGGTCCTACAGCGCACTTATGTCGAGGGATTTTGGAACTCGGCGTGGCGCCTCCGCGGAGAGCCCGAGCCCGGGAGGCTCTGCAGGGGCCTGTCCTCAGACAGCGGCTCTGACCGCGGCCGGGCGGCTCTCGCGGCGTGGGCTGTCTGTGTCTCGGCGGAGGGCTCTTGGCGGTCTGAACTGTGGGTGCCGCACCCAGGGGCGCCCAGACCCGCGCCCCGAGCGCGCACCTGCACCAGCACCTCCATCTTCCTCCCGCGCAGCCCCTTGCCCTGTGCTGCACCCTCTCTCTCCCTCCCCCGGCCTCCCCCGCGCCTGCAGGGGTACCACGGCCCTCTCCCCTCAGCTACAGTTCATAGGTCAGTTCTGCCTGTTCTTGAGCTTCTGTAAGCGGCGTCATTACAGTGAACGCTCTTTTGAGTCTGTCTTTTGTCAAACATTGATTGAGTCAGGCTTTTTGCTACGAGGAGTTGCGGTTGACTCACTCCCGTTTCTCCGTGGTGTTCCTGCATGACCGCTGCAGCGTGCCGGGCCACCGCGAGGGGCATGTGGTAGTTCCTGTCTGGAGGCCGCTACACATGGCTCGCCTGTCACCGTAGCCTCTTGTTCGCTTGACCATGGGCCGTGTTAAGCTTCAGTAGATTTGCCAAATCGTTTTCTGAAGTGGTGATACTAATTTCCACTATACCACTAGTAAATGATAGGTTTTTTTAAAAGATTGATTGATTGATTGATTGATTGATGGAAGCACTGGGTAGAGTCAGAAGCGCGGGAGGGTGAGAGGATTCACCAGAGCCAGAGCGGGGAGCAGAACAGGCAGAAGGACCGAAGGACACTGCTGAGGGGAGCAGCGGGCGGCAGGGGGGGGTCTGCGCGCCATGCGGGACCCTTCTCTGGTGGCCGGGGAGCAGCCAGGGATCGAACCGGCGCTGCGGAGGCTGCGGGCAGCTTCTCAGCCCAGCGCTCAACCGCTGCGCCACCGGGGAGGCCCTAAATGATAGTTTTGATATCTCTAATCCTTTCCAGCATTTTAGCCATTCTGGAGATTGTGCAGTAGTATCACATTGTGATTTTATTATACATTTTCCTGGGGGCCATTGAATTGAGTACCGTTTGTATGTTTTTTAGCCATTTTACTGTCCTCTTGTGACCTCTTGGTCTTGTCCTTTTTCCTATAGAATGTTAAGTTGGGCATCTGTCTATCTCTCGGTGATTGTGTGGGGTTGCTCCCTGGTAGTAGAAACACAACAGAAGGAAAAAAGAGATAGAGACAAGTCTTCTGTCACATTGTGATGATGACTTGGTGGATAGTATCTTCTTTGGTTCTCAGTTATTTATTCTGTATGAAAATATGAAGGTAAACTTAGCTTGGCCCCTTCTCAGACTCAGTTCAGCTCAGTCTCCTTCCTGTTCCTTTATATACACGTACTCTATGTAGTTTTCAGCAGCTGCATTTTGTTCCTAGACCATTAATTCATCAGGAAAAATAGGTGTTTTGTAAGTGTTGCTCTTTGGGGTTACCATCTGTGTAACATCTCACTCAGGACTAAGTGCCAGAGTGTCACCCAGGCTGGATTAAGGACTAGACCCTACTGAGGAAAGTAAAAAGTTAGAGAGCCAGGGTTAGCAGAAGAAAGCATTCTCCCATCTGCCATCATTCAGTAGACCAACCCGGAGACTGGATTCGAAGGGAGAGGTGTCCTCCCCGGCTGAGTCTCCCTTCCATACCCGCCAGCATGGGAAGGCGGTGTTGTGTCAGGGTGAGCGGGATAAGCCGGCTGTTCAGTGCGAGGCAAGCTGGAGTTAAATTTGAGGTACAAGTTGTATGAAAAAAATCTCCCAGTACCCAAAAACTCTAGGACCAAGGGAAGTTGTACTCCTCTCAACTCCAGGAAGCCAGTGATCTCACGGGGAGCTGGCTCGAGCCCAGTACCGCCTTGCAGCCTTGTCCAGAAGTGAGCTGCAGGGTGTTCTTAGAAGTTTTTTCATTGCACTGCCCACAGCACTGCGCTGCGTGCCCGTTGTCTGTGGAGTTCCCCAGAGACAACCCTGAGCCTGTTCCTGCGGTCTTCAGGAAAAGAATTTCTTGCTTTATTCATTCTTAAGGGTCTTCGTTTGTCATAGTTGTGAAATTCCACGTGCAAAATTTAGGTTGAGGCGAGATTATCTTGTTAAAAGGACACATGTTCTCACATGAAGATCGCCTGTCAGCAGTAGTCGTTTGCCACGGCATCTTCAAAGATGAATTAATATTTTAGGCACTGGAAATGAGAGACTAAATGTTTCTATAGAGTAGTTTTTAGTAAAATGTGAAATTCGGTATACTTGATACATGTTTGTTCACTATAAATCTTAAATTTTTGATCCTATAACTAAATAATTGCAGTTTCATTAATACTAGAATTATAAAGTGTTAACAGATGAAAATATATGTACTATGAATCATGCTTCTTTAAAACTAAAAAGGTTTGGGTTGACTATGTTAATGATTAAATTCCTCTTTAAGGAAAGATAATGTACAATTCTGTTTAACAAAGCGCATTTGAATTTTTTCTCTTGGAAATATTAGCAAGAAGGCTCCCTTTGTGCTCAACACTGCTTGAATAATCTGTTGCAAGGAGAATATTTTAGCCCTGTGGAGTTATCTTCAATTGCACATCAGCTAGATGAAGAAGAGAGGATGAGAATGGCAGAAGGGGGAGTTACTAGTGAAGACTATCGCACTTTTTTACAGGTATTGATTTTAAAGCCAGTACATCCCTTTTTTTTTTTTGAAGTGTGGGTGCTGTTTAGAAAAGGAAGAAATAATCTTTCCATCGGGATCTGACTTAACTGTAACTGCACTTTGACTTTGTGAGGGGAAATGCACAAGATACTGTTTGAAATATACACACTAATGACAGTTTTTATCCTTCTCTCCCCACCCTCAACCCTTGTCTCGACTGCCCGTCCGCATTAAACAGCAGCCTTCTGGAAATATGGACGACAGTGGTTTTTTCTCTATTCAAGTAAGTAGTCACAAGCAGGTTGTCATTGTTGCTCATGTCCCCAGCGCTATTGAAGCTCCAGGGATGGTTGATAGCATCTCTTCAGAGCCTTTCCAGTTGAATATATGGATGTGAGCTTCCAGAATTTCCTCCAGTAGATTGTGTCTAAGGGTGTAACACGATATTCCAGAGCACTAGGTTTTTATGAAGATAAACATCAAAGTTAGAATTGTAGAGTCTTCATTTTAGAGGAGCACTTTTTGAATAATTACATTCATTCTAATCAGTCACAAACTCACTATCTCTTGCATAAATTTGAGAAAATGCAACCCCTGTACCTTTCATTTAATCAGGCTTCAGGCTTGAATTCATTTGTTATGTTCTGTGCCTTTGCTTTTTTTTTTTTTTTTTTTAACTTACAGCTCCCCTTGAATTCTGTTGGTGAATATATATGTCCTTGTAAGATACTTTTCCTGGTGGGTCTTCCATTCTATTTCTGACACCTCTGAGATACAGCCAGAGTTTTTTCAGTCTCTTTTTTTTCCGAATTACGTTTGTTGTGGTTAGGTAGGTTTATATCTTTGTGTCCACAGTGAGGATTATAGGGCCAAACCTCTACAAATGTCTACTTTCACATACTCCCCACCACCAGCGCCCCAACTATCCTCCATCTTGTTCCCTTGGAGCCCTTCCCTCCCCTACTATTAACCCCCGACCCCTTTGGATGCCTCATTTGTGCAGTCAAATGTTAAGACTTTGTTATTGGTTTGGTTTTGACTGATCCTTTCTTATGTTTCTCTCCATTCCACATGTAAGTGAGACCACCTGGTGTTTCTTTCTCCTTCTCATGGACTTGCATAATCCTCTCCGATTCCATCCATGTTGTTGCTAATGGGAGGAGTTTATCTTTTTTTTTAAATACATACACACACCCCCCACATTTTTCTGGTCTCCTCCTCTGTCCTTGGATAGACTTGTTTCCATGAGCTATTAGTTGTTGTAATTAGGACTGCAGTGAACATAAACTAAACATATCCCTTTGATTAGTGTTTTTGTATTCTGCAGGTGTATTTCCTAGGAGTGAAATTGCTGAGTCATGTGGTAGAACCATTTTCAGTATTATGAGAAATCTCCATACTGTTTTTCTTAGGGTTTGAGCCAGTTTACATTCCCACCAACAGAGTGTGAGGGTTCCTTTTTTTCCATATCCTCGCCCACCCTTAGTGTTTCTGCAGACCTGACTTGAGGGAATTGTGTCTGGAAATGCTTTTATTTGTATTCTCCTTATACTGTTCTCCTGTACTCTCATGGATTTCATTCACCAGCATTTCTGTCCAGTACCTCGTGGACTAGGCTCGGAGGCTGGGAGGGCCAGCACGTGCCATTTCCAGTTAATACAGTGCTGCCTGGTGCCAGTTAACTTTTGCCCTTTGCATTTACTTTGTCTGTGCTAGTTCCTCGTTAACTTGCTTCTCTGTTGGCTGGCGTGGAGGGTAGAGAATGAATTTTCAGAAATTTCCCATTTTTCCTCAGACAGTTTGAAATGATCAGGTTTATCTTTCTACACATTGCAAATCCATGATAGTAGAAGTTTAAAATCAACAAAAACTTCATTTAGTTCCTCAGAAAGAACTCATTTTACTAGACATATAGTTATCATTATTGCAGACATATCAAGTTGTGAGTTGAATATAACTTTTCTAAAGCAGGACCCATAGCAGCCAGATAATCACTTGTATATAATGGATGAGTTTTATGAATAGCACTTCCTGGATAGAAAGTACATCTGGATTTTTGAGGCTGTCACTAGAAACTGTGTGGTTCTCTTGAACATTCCAGAAACCTGGTGTAGAAACCACTTCTTTAGTGCTATGTTTGTATGTTATTTATGGAGTCAGTGATATAGTTATATATACGCAAACTAGCTTTATGGGCAAATTTATATAAGAAGGTACAACGTGACACAATTAACATAGCTACAATTACTTAAATTTGAAATTGAATGGTTTAGCTCATGAAATATTGCTATTTTTTCTTTTTTAAACAGGTTATAAGCAATGCCTTGAAAGTTTGGGGTTTAGAACTAATCCTATTCAACAGTCCAGAGTATCAGAGGCTCAGGATTGATCCTATGTAAGATTTTATTTTGCTTTTCTTTTTCTGAAGTTGACTTTCAGTTTATAATTTCTTAAAGGAATATATTTTGAATGTTTTTATTTTCATGTTCCCTGTTTTATTCCCTGAAATTTTTCTATTCCTTTGGTAATGTTCATGAATATTTGCCCTCTGGGTATTCCTGACACCTCAGTGTCTGGCAGAGGTGATCCTTGACTAATGTGTGGTAGTTCATTTTTGCACAGTATTGCTAATCAGAGAGATTGTTTTTGTAATTTTTTAAAAATCAGTGATATTTTGCATAGTAAACTTACTCCTAAATTATCATAAATTTTGCATAGTACTTGCAGGTAGGCAAACCAAATGAACGTGACTCTGATATTCAACTTAATATTTTGTATGTTTTTTTTTCTAGAAATGAAAGGTCATTTATATGCAATTATAAAGAACACTGGTTTACAGTTAGAAAATTAGGAAAACAGGTAATCTTTCTCCTCCTTGCCTTTTTTGTTATTCTGCTTTCCATTTGCAACTGAGATGTAAGGAACTGGTGCCTCGAAGAGAAAGAAACCACGTACAGTAATCTGTGTATGTACAGGCTATCAGTCTTGACAGAGAGAAATTTACTATTTCAAAAGAGTATCAGTTTCTCGTAAGGATTAATTTGTGACAACCATATACAATTTAACTATATAGTAAGAAAATTCTATAATGCAAATATGATTTAAGTGGATTATTATGTAATAAGCTGTTGGCTGTTAAATTTGTACATTTGTGTTCATCACAGTAGGGTCACAGGGCCTGAAACGATATCCAGCACGAATAAAGGTTTTCACCTGTGTTTGCTTTAACATAAGATTATTCACATTCCGGATGCGATGTTAATACATGTATCTACATGAAATCATTTCTGTGTTATTTATTTGAGTTTTAAAAGGACAGGTTTATTGGGAAAAGGAGAAAAAGAGAGGCACTTGCCTAGTCTCAGGCGGGCAGGGGAGATGCCTCATTTCCGTTTGTTTGTTTGTTTGTTTGTTTGTTTTTAAAGAACATGTAGTGTGTCTTGAGCAAGTCATTTTTAAGATCAAGAAATGTACATAAAATGTTATTTTTAAAAATAATTACCAGTGATCTTTGTATACACTATTTTTGAAGCAATCTTTTAAAAGTCCTTTTTATTAGAAGTTTAATATTTAAAAAAGGATTTTTGAAAATGGCCTAATGTAGGGCCTCCTTGGTGGCCTAGGGGTTAAGTCTCAGTGTTATCACAGATGACTACAGCCTGAGTTCAGTCATCTGCCAGGGAGCTAACCATGGTGCAGCAGACCTCTGCTGTCTCTCCCACTGCTCCCCTCAGCAGTGTATTTCAGTAAATCCAACTGCTGTGCTTCCCTCTCTGTCTCTGGTGACTCCTCTCACCCCCCACACCTCTGGCCTACACCCCAGTTCTTATACACTAAAATAAAATAATCTTTTAATAAATTAAAAAGCACTTAACATTAGTAAATCTGTAACGTTCTATTTCAGTTCTTAAAATCACATTAAGTTAAAAATCTGAGTTTTTAGTGTTTAGATAATGTTACTGAGTTTAGATGATTTACTTTTTTTTTTTAAAGATTTTATTTATTTTTGCATAGAAGAACTGGGGTGTAGACCAGAGGTGTAAGGAGTGAGAGGATTCACCAGAGAACAGGCAGATCTACTGAAATATACTGCTGAGGGGAGCAGCAGGCTAGACAGGGGAGATATGTGGGTTGACTCTCTGGCCAGGGATCGAATTCAGGCTGTGGTGGCAGTAGTGTTGAGACTTAATCCCTTGGCCAACCAGGAGGCCTAGAGTTACATTTATTCTTAATGTGCAAAACTTCATTACTTACAATGTACACTAACTTATATACTGGCAATTTTTTTTTTTCAGTGGTTCAACTTGAATTCTCTCTTGACGGGTCCAGAATTAATATCAGATACATATCTTGCACTTTTCTTGGCTCAATTACAGCAGGAAGGTAAATAAAGACTAAAAATTTTGTGATGTTACCTTTCGAAGTAGTTTATAAAACTACCTTAGGGGGGCCTCCCTGGTGGCTCAGGGGTTAAAGACACAATGCTGTTAAGTTATGGACAGCCACTGCAACATGAGCTCTATCCCAACCAGGGAGCTGACCCACATGGCACAGCCAACCTCACCTGTCTTGCCTGCTGCTCCCCTCAGCAGTGTGTTTCAGTAGATCTGCCTGTTCTGCTCCCCACTCTGTCTCTGGTGAATCCTCTCACCTCCCACATCTCTGGACTACACTATAGTTCTTGTATGCATAAATAAATAAATCTTTAAAAAAAAAAAACTTTCTTAGGTGTGAGTGTAACGGTACTGTTTTCATGAAAACATTTTTTTTTCTTTTCTGTATTACTCCTGTCATTAGCAAAATAATAATTATTTTCATTGATTAAAAAGAGAAAAGCCTTTTAACTCTAGGAAATTCCAGTTGTCTTCCATTTTTATTTTCTACTCCATTTTATTTTCTCTAGAATAGTCTTGTGTGTGTTGTCTCTTCTTCATGAACTCATTATAGTCACATTTTCATAACCACACGTTTTCAGTATGTCACTGAAAAACCCTCAGTGTCACCAATATCATCCTTACTTGCCAATGTCTGTATTTGGTTCTCAGCCTCATCTGAGGTTATAGTTGATTATACCCTCCTTTAGACAGAGCAAGCTAAAATCTTTGTTGTTGAAAATTTCAAACCAGTAGAAAAAGAAAATGTGATGAATTCTCTTGTGCATTTCATTTAAAATCTTTAAAACTGAGGACACTTACAACTACTATACTCACAGCTAAAAAGTTGCATCACAGTGCATTAGTAATCGGAAACACTGCTCACTGTTCAGACCTCCAGTCTCCTTGGTTGTCTTTAAGTTTTTTACATTTTAATCTGGGTTAAAATAAGGTGTGTTGATTACATTTCTTAAGTCTAGCAGTAGGTTTCCTTCTTCATTCCTCCCCCCCTTTTTTTTTTTTTAAAGAAAATTGGTCATTTTTTCTGTTTCCCACAGTCGGGATTTTGCTGACTGCATTCCTGTTTTCCTCTGAGCGCCCAATCCCCAGTGTACGACTTCTTAGAGGAGCGGTTTCTAGATCAGACCAGTGAATTCTTTTCACAGCTGTTTTATTACTTGATGTCTCGTCTCTTTTTGTGATTTGAATAGCTTTAGGTGATCGAGCCTGTGATTTATTATTTCATTAAGGGTTGCAGATGATGATGTTTAGAGTCCTGTCATTCCTTCATGTATTAGCTGGAACACTTAACTTTTCCTCATTAATTACTTGGTGGTTCTGAAGTATAGTTCATGTGGGAAAGGCAGGATAAATATTTCATTTTATCAGTTTTTTTTTTTTTTTTTATAGAGGCATGCTTTATTTGTTTGCTGGTTTGTTTGTCTTGTTTTTGTTTATACATGCACTGGGTACAGTCAGAAGCGCGGGAGGGTGAGAGAATTCACCAGAGCCAGAGCGGGGAGCAGAGCAGGCAGAAGGACTGAAGTACACTGCTGAGGGGAGCAGCGGGCGGCAGGCGAGGTCTGCACACCATGTGGGACCCTCCTCCGGTGGCCGGGGAGCAGCCGGGGATCGAACCGGCGCTGCAGAGGCCGCGCGCAGCTTCGCAACCCAGCGCTCAACCGCTGCGCCACCGGGGAGGCCCATTTTATCAGTTTTTAAAATGAATTGGTTTCAGTGTTCTGTCTCTGAAGGTAATCCTTTTTTTTTTTTATAATAAATTTTATTTTTATATTCCCCATACAAATGCAACCCCCCCCCATTCTGATCCCAATCCCCCCCTCCCGACCCCCACCCCCCAAAAAGTGTCTCTGGTTCATAGTTTTTTGTTGATTTTGATTTTCACTTTCTTATAGTTATTCATTTTCCTGGTCCCTTATTTAAGTTTTCTAGATTCCTGCTATGAGTGAGACCATCCGGTATTTTTCTTTTTCTTTTTGGCTTATTTTACAGAGCATGATCCCTTCCAGTGCCATCCATGTTGCTGCAAATTGCATGTGTTTATCTTTTTTGAATGCTGAGTAATATTCCATGGTATATATGTACCACATCTTCTTGATCCAGTCATCTATTTTTGGGCATTTGGGCTGTTTCCAAAGCTTAGCTATTGTAAACAGTGCTGCTATAAACATAGGGGTGCAGGTGCTCTTTGGAATTGATGTTTCTGTGTCCTTTGGGTAAATACCTAGGAGTGGAATTGCTGGATCCTATGGAAGCTTTATGTTTAGTAGGTCAAGAAATCTCCACACAGCTCTCCATAGTGGTTGGACCAGTTTGCACTCCCACCAACAGTGCAGGAGAGTTCCTTTTTCTCCACAACCTCGCCAACATTTGTTGTTGCTAGTTTTTTTAATATGTGCCATTCTCACTGGTGTAAGATGGTATCTCATGGTAGTTTTGATTTGCATTTCCCTGATTGCAAGTGATGTTGAACATTTTTTCATATGCCTGTTGGCCATTTGTATTTCCTCTTCGGAGAAGTTTCTTTTTAGCTCTTCTGCTCATTTTTTGACTGGATTATTTTCTTTGTTTTTGTGAGTCTCATCAGCTTTTTGTAGATTTTTGTAATCAGTCCTTTATCATTAGTGTTGTGTGCAAAAATGTTCTCCCAGTTGGTGGGGTTTCTCTTTGTTTTGGTTATTGTCTCCTTTGCTGTGCAGAAGCTCTTTAATTTGATGTAGTCCCAGCTGTTTATCTTTGCCTTCACTATCACTACTTTGGGTGATGTGTCTGTAAAGATGTCTTTGATGTGCAAATCACGTAGTGTTTTGCCTATATTTCCTTCTATATATTTTATGGTTTCAGGTCTTATGTCTAGTTCTTTAATCCATTTTGAGTTGATTTTTGTGTATGGTGTGAGGTAGTGGTCAAGCGTCATTCTTTTGCATGTAGCGACCCAGTTTTCCCAGCACCATTTATTGAACAAACTTTCTTTGCTCCAATGCATAGTCTTTGCTCCTTTGTCAAAGATTAGTTGACCATAAATCTGTGGGTTCATTTCTGGATTTTCTATTCGATTCCATTGGTCTGTGTGTCTATTCTTGTTCCAATACCATGCAGTTTTGATGATTATGGCTTTGTAGTATAGTTTGAAGTCTGGGAGTGTGATGCCTCCATTCCCTTCTTTCTTTTTCAGGAGAGCTTTGGCATTTTGGGTTTTTTTGTGATTCCATATGAATTTCATCAATAATTGTTCTATTTCTTTGAAGAATGACATTGAAATTTTGATTGGAATAGCATTGAATCTGTATATTGCTTTTGGTAGGATGGCCATTTTAATAACGTTTATTCTTCCAATCCATGAGCAGGGGATGTCTTTCCATTTCTTTGTGTCTTCTTCTATTTCTTTTAACAGTGTTTTATAGTTTTCTTTGTATAGATACTTTACCTCTTTTGTTAGATTTATTCCCAAATATTTGATTTTTTTTGTTTCAGTAATAAAAGAGATGGTTTTTTTGATTTCTTCTTCTTCAGATTTATTGTTTGTGTATAGGAAGGCTACTGACTTTTGCGTGTTGATTTTGTGTCCTGCCACTTTACTGAACTGATTGATGAGTTGAATTAGTTTTTCTGTGGAGTTTTTGGGGTTCTCTATGTATACTATCATATCATCTGCAAATAGTGATAGTTTGACTTCTTTTCCTATTTGGATTCCTTCGATGTCTTTCTCTTGTCTTATTGCTCTGGCTAGGACTTCCAGTATTATATTGAAAAGCAGTGGTGAGAGTGGGCATCCTTGTCTTGTTCCAGATCTTAATGGAGTTGCTTTCAGCTTTTCACCATTGAGAATGATACTGGCTGTTGGCTTGTCATAGATGGCCTTTATGATGTTGAGGTATGTTCCTTGTATCCCAAGAATTTCAAGGGCTTTTATCATGAATGGGTGTTGCACTTTGTCGAAAGCTTTCTCAGCATCTATTGATATTATCATATGATTTTTATATTTCTTTTTGTTGATGTGTTGGATAACATAGATTTTCGGATGTTAAACCATCCTTGTGTCCCTGGAATGAATCCTACTTGGTCGTAGTTAATTATCTTATGGATACATTGTTGGATTCTGATACCTAAAATTTTGTTGAGGATTTTTGCATCAGTGTTCATTAGGGAGATTGGCCTGTAGTTTTCCTTTTTTGTGTTGTCCTTATTCGGTTTTGGTATTAGTGTAATGTTGGCTTCATAGAAAGTGTTTGGTATTGTCTCTTCCTTCTCAATTTTTTGGAAGAGTTTGTGAAGGATAGGCACCAATTCATCTCTGAATGTTTGGTAGAATTCGTTTGTAAATCCATCAGGTCCTGGGCTTTTGTTTTTGGGGAGGTTTTTGATTACCATTTCAATTTCGCTGCTTGTAATTGGTCTGTTTAGGTGTTCTATTTCTTCTTTATCTAGCTTTGGGTGATTGTAGAGTTGTAGGAATTTGTCCATCTCCTCTAGATTGTTGAACTTGTTTCCATACAACTCTTCATAGTAGTTACTGATTATTCTTTTTATTTCTGCTGTGTCCGTTGTGATTTCTCCTCTTTCATTTCTGATCCTGTTTATTTGTGCTTTCTCCCTTTTTTCCTTTGTGAGCCTGGCTAGGGGTTTGTCTATTTTATTGATTTTTTCGAAGAACCAGCTCTTGGTTTCATTAATCTTTCGGATTGTTTTTTTAGTTTCAATTTCATTTATTTCTGCTTTGGTTTTTATTATTTCTTTTCTTCTACTGGTTTTGGGGTTTTATTGTTGTTCTTTTTCTAGATCTTTGAGCTTCGAGATTAGGTTGTTTCTTTGAGTTCTTTCTTGTTTCTTGATGTGAGCTTCTATTGCTATATATTTTCCTCTTATTACTGCTTTTGCTGCGTCCCATACATTTAGGATATTGGTGTCCTCCTTGTCATTCAATTCAAAGAATTTTTAAATTTCTTCTTTGATCTCCTCATTAGTCCAATGGTCTTCCAGTAGTGTGGT